TTTCTATCTGCGTCCTGAGGATTTTTGGACCTCTGAGTGTCTGCGGATCACAGTATGGAAATTTTTGATCCAAAGTAACAGAACCCAAAAAGCTCTTGAGCCAAAATTATACCGCAGCAAGATAGAGAAAATCGTTCCAATCGTCACGGATTTAACGGTTCAAATCCAAGTGTTCGTTAAAAATATGAATCGCACAAATCAGAGCTGGAGCAAAATCATTCCAGTCGTCCCATCTGCTAATATTAAAAAATAAAATAAAAAAAATTATCCTTACTTTTCCATCATTGCTTCCATGGCCGGAGGCAGGCATGCATGAATTTTCCTAAAAAAAAAAAAAGAGATGAAAAGTAATTTTACTCTGTAATTTGATAGCTTATGAAATAATCATTCACGTTGAGCTTTGGTTGGATATAATCTGTCGCGTGATGAATTTTGTCCCGACGAGTTGCCATAATGCCACCCACAAGAAGCAAATTTCCAGGACTGTACATGGTTCAGTTTTTCAAAAATATCCAACCTTCGTTACAACAGAGCAAAATTCCCTCCAGATTCGGTGAGGTTATCCAATGACCTTTTACCAGGATTTCCATGCTGTAGCCACTGCTGTATTCATGCATGACCTCAAAAATATCGAATTTTCATATTAAAAGATCTCCATGGTTCTTCTCCAACCAACCAGTCTTCCAACCATTGGTTCTGGTTAGTGGGTATAAACCCCCCTTCCTATAATCTCTTTCAAGGTTCCGATTTTTTTGATGCCAATAATCCGTCTAGCGCATAAATCGTCACCCTCCGGCCAAAGGCCCTCACAAGCGCCATGCGACGTTTCGCCACCATTTTACTTTTTTATAACTACATTGTTCAACGAAGCTGTCCGAATGTTTCACTGTATTTTCTTTGTGCTACCGATAAAATTCAGTGAAATTTTCAATCAGGTTCAAACAACAATTTCTCTGTTAAAAAATAAAATGGCGAAGGAAATTTTTAAATTTTGCATGGCGCTTGTGATACTTTGGCTGGAGGATTACGAAATAGTAAAAATTATCAATTTTTTCTAAGTTTTGGTTCATAGCGTAACCAAAATTCTGAGAAGAAGATTATTTCCTCTTAAATTTAAGGGAGAAAAGCTTCGGTTGGGGGCACTTTAGAGAAACACTTTCACGATACTCTGTATACTGATGGGAATTTAACAGGAACAATGGTCGCAGAAGACTTCTCGAGCAGGATCCACCACGGATACTTCGACGTCCCTGGTCAGCGCTGAGACGAATGCAGTCGAGTGATCAAGAGAATTCAGGTACTTTCTGGAATCGGATGGAGCTGTTGCATGTGTGAGGAATTTGCGAATTTACCAGTGATTCTTAGGTAAAAGTTCGCGAGAAACACTATGGTGCTACTGGTTTTCTCTGAAATCAACTCCCAAACTCAAAAAAAACTCTCAAGTTAAGGCCAAACTGGAGGGGATATCCCTCGCTACTCTGAGAGTCCACCTGTGCATCAAGACGAACTCTCTACGCAAAGATAGGGAGCAAATATATTAGCAGTGATGCCGTGTTTTCAGTTTTAGAGTCCCCAAATAAAGTGGCAGCCCTGTCAATGTATGTATTTGTTCCCTATCTTTGCATGGAGAGTTTGTTTTGATGTAGAGGTGGACTCTCAGGCTAGCGTGGGATATCCCCTCCATTTTAGCCTTAACTTGAGAGCTTTTTTTGAGCTTGGGAGTTGATTTCAGAGAAAACCAGTGGCACCATCGTGTTTCTCGCGAACTTTTACAGAAGATTCCACAGTCCAATCGCAAATTCCTCACATATGCAACATCTCCATGTTGTGTTAAAATGAACTTCATCGAAGGCCCGTACATAAAATACGTGACGCTTGAAAGAGGACGGGGTCTGAGCATGCATCATGGGTGCGTCAGGGGTGAGGGTTGTCAAGGGAAACTGAAAAAACAGTCTTTTGGATCCAGAGCCCAAACTCTTATGAAATTGGACACAAAAAAAAACTCTTGATTCAATCGGATTTTTGTTTGAATCAAAAGGCAATCCGCTTAAATAAAGAAGCTCAGCTCTCGATTCAAGCAAAAATTCAATTGAATCAAGAGTATTATTCTTTATTAAAATTATTCTTGTCAAATTTTCTAGGAGATTTGGCTCTGAATCCAAAAGACTTATTTTCAATGGACACAATACGCAACGATTGATTTCGATTGAGATTGTAAAATAATAAAATAAATGTTTATTTATTTAATGTAATATTTTTCTTTCATTTAGTTTATTCATCTCATTTAGTTAATTTACTCTATTTATTTTACATATTTTAATTTACTTTAATTTTACTACATTTTTAATTTACTTTATTTATTTTACATATTTTATTTATACCTCATTTATTTTATTATTTATTTCATTTTCTTGTCCCATTTATCTTCAGTCCATTATCTTGTTTTGTCCTCTCTATTCCTGTGTCCTGACGATGCGCTAAAGCGTAAAAAACCTCGATAAAATAGGTACGTCCTAAACTTGAATTCCCAATAAGGCCTTGGTCAATAAATTTCAAACCTCATACTGCCCCAGGTTCAACTTGCTCAACAGATGAACACAAAAGTTGAAAAACCGGGTCGCAGGTCCAATCCCAATTTCAAATACTGCATCGCCACCACATCTAGAATCAGATCATTCAGTTCAATCCTTTTGGACTTCACGGAAAAAATTAATTGTTGCTTTAGCATTTAAAATGTTAAAAAAATGTGCGACAAGTATAAATGCTGATTTTACAATTTCAAAAATGCTACGTTAACTACGTCAACGGTTATATGAACAAATTCAATGTTGAGTTAGCATTTATTTAACTGTAAAATCAGCATTTGATACCTGTTGCACATTTTTTAACAGTATAAATGCTAAATCTACTTTCAATTTGTTTTCGTGTTACAGATGGCAATAGAAGGCAGAGAAGGACCACTCTCAGACCGGAGGGATCATCACCGCGACGCCGGCAACGACGATCACCACTGGTACCACAGTCACCACCGGTACCACGGTCACCACCGGTACCACGGTCATCACCGGTACCACAGTCACCACCACTATCACCACCACCGCAACTGTCACGAGAGGAATGGCAACCATTAGGGGCAGATATACCACTAGAACGAATGCCATTGCAACCTACACCACCGGGTAACGCTTCGACATTTGGCGCCTTGATGAACGATCCTAGCGATCCTATGATGATTACGGTGGAACAAAAGGCCACGCTGGGCTCTTTGAACATGGTCGTATTGTGTGTCATTCATCATCTAAGTGAGGGATTTAGACTGCCGGTTCTTATACACAGCCAAGCGCACATAGACCCACAAACAGGTGAGTTTATGTATTTAGAAGAAACAACTTAATCGGCTCGAAACACTGACAAAGAAACAACTTAAAAGTCTCACAATACAGTGTCACACTGGAAAAAAACACATTGGATCTAGAGTCAAGACTCTTGAAAACATTGACAAGAAAAAAGACTCTTGATTCAATCAGATTTAAGCTTACAAAAGGAAATCTGCTCAAATCAAGAGGCTTGGTTCTTGATTTAAGCTTAAATCTGATTGAATCAAGAGTATTTTTTCTTGTCGGTGTTTTTAAGAGTCTGGCTCTAGATCCAATGTGTTTTTTTATCCAGTGCACGATAACAGCGGCGAGGCTCATAGTGTCCTTCTTTTTAATTCTCTTTATTTTGCCGGTTGAAAATGCGGGTGTGATCCCTGCGAACCGCCCCGGGCTTTTTATTTTATTTTAAGTGTTCGTTTTATTATTTGCTGCCTTAGTCCCGAATTAAGTTGTTTCTTTACGTTTTTAGTCGGCATGGAGCCCCCTCCTCCCCTTTCACCCCTCAACCCGACATCTTCTTCCATCGTAAAATAAGTTTCGTAGGCATATAGTTAAATTTGGCATTTTGTTAAATGCCGAATTAGTAGTAAGTGCCGAAGTGAAATATTATTACTTAAAGTCAAATTATTGTTATTTACTTACTCAACGGTGAAACTACGAAAAAATTAAAATTATGCTTATTTTCCTAACTTGACGGTGAAACTGCAAAAATAAGTATCTCGGTTCCGGTGTTTCGAAATCTCCGCTCCAATTTTATTTTTTAAAGGAGAACCGAACCGACCTCATGACTTGAAGTTTTCACAGAATACCTATTATCGAGAGGACGAATCACTGAAATTTTCAAAAAATGACGATGAGTAATTTTCCTCGTGGGAATTAAGTATGGGACACTGAAAAAAAAAATCACGGCGTTTTTACCAAGGTCCGTTGGCACCTTTACCATCTCACTTTTTTCTACCAATTATTGGTAAATGTACCAAGACAGACTGCTAAACTTGGCTAAAAACCGATATTTTCACAGTTTTTTCGGGTAAGAATACCACTTTTATCGGTAATCAATTCCCGGTAACTTTGCCATTTTATCTGGGTAAGTCTACCACAGTCGAAAAGAAATATTGGCGTTTTTACTAAGGTCCAGTAAAATTACCGAGAAAGTTCAATAATTTCACCGAGATTTCTCGGTAAAATTACCAATTGCATAAATGGTAATTTTACCAAGAGAAAACTGGGATCAAATAGAACCCTGAATTATTGGTAATTTTACCCTTTTCCTAGTAAATACACCGAGATTTTTTTTTTCAGTGGAGAAACTCTGCGACGCCGCATACCGAGATACGCATTTCTCAGTGGTGAGGCGTGAATTGCGATGTATCGATTGTTATGCTATTTAAACGTATGGTAAAAAATCGATTAATAAGGTGTTCGCTGCGAACACCCTGTTTATCGATCGTTTTCCATAGGTTTAAATGGCATAACAATCGATATATCGCAAAGCACGCCACGCCACTGGCATTTTTGCAGTTTCGCCGTCGATATGGCGTTTTTTATGGCAGGATTGTGCACAGGATTTTTCGTAACATTTGAGATCCGTCACTCTTGCATGATCATTCTCGTTTTCAGGCGCAATAACAAGAATCATGATGTGGGTACGGAAATCGGTGATCCAACGTTCATATGTTCCATATGCCTCGACGGTACCCATGATAAAGATACAAGAGTGGCTGGTGAAAGCACATGAAGGTAAGTTTCAAATCCTGACAAGGATGTAAAGTTGAATCGGTTTAAGTGGGTTGACTAGGTTCGCAGGCCCCAAATTAGTTCTCCTGCACTGGAAAAAAACACATTGGATCTGGAGTCCAAACTCTTGAAAAAATTGACAAGAAAAAGGACTCTTGATTCAATCAGATTTAAGCTTAAATCAAAAGGAAATCCGCTCAAATTAAGAGGCTGGGTTCTTGATTTAAGCTTAAATCTGATTGAATCAAGAGTATTTTTTCTTGTCGATATTTTTAAGAGTCTGGACTCTAGATCCAATGTGTTTTTTTTCCAGTGTGGGGTCTGTGGACTAGAGTACCTTATTCAGCTTCAAACGAAGTCATTTTCGGGGATATAAACAACATTTAATGGGGATAATAAAACATATGTCAATGTAATGCGGTAAATTGGGACGAAGGAAGCTAAATCTGAGAGTATGGAGTAATTGGACTACATTTTGCAATAAGGAACCATTATTTCTGGCTTATTTTAGAAACAAATGCGATTAGTTTCTCTAAGCAGGAATGTGCTTTTATGGAAGAGTCAGAGCCAGTAGTTCCTTATTGAAACATGTTATCCAATTGGAAAGAGTAAAGAGAAAAAATTTCATAAGTCGACCCAGATGACTGTCATATCAATGCTTGACCGTGAATTTGTTTCGACAGATCCATCAAACCCAGAAAACTTTACGCCACCTTTTCCGCAAGTTCCGGTGGATCCGAATGATGCGCCCTGGAGAAACTTCGACCAAGGGACTGGTAAGTCCGTAGTTAAACTATTTACGCTATCGGTTACGATACACACTCACAATCATGCAGCCAAGACTAGTGGCGTGGCGTGCTTTGCGATGTATCGATTGTTATGCCATTTAAACCTATGGTAAAGAATCGATTATTAGGGTGTTCGCATCGAACACCCTAATAATCGATTCTTTGCCATAAGTTTAAATGGTAGAACAATCGTTACATCGCAATTCACGCCACGCCACTGCAAGACTCTCAAACCCCGGTCTCACACACACACACACACATTCAATATTTTTGTTTACATCTCAAGGCAACGTCATAAACGCGAAAGAACGTCACATCCACTAAATGAATCAGTACTTTGCAGAAGAGTGGAGGCCCGATTTTTCAAAATATTTTTTGACGTTCTTTCCACGCGACATCCGCATGTGTGTGCCTTCTCGGGTCTTGCGGTGAAGACAACTAAAGAGCGAGAGATACATGTTTAACAAGTGTTGACAAGTATTTCATTATTGTCTTCAGAATTTTTAGTGCTGAGTGTACGTATATTTACTGGAAAGTTCCTCGATACCTTGTAAACTAAAAATCGATCTGAATTTTGACTCGCAAAAAGTAGAGAAAACAATTTCAGATGATGGTAAAAAGAGAGAAATAGACACACACATAGAAACAGGAAGATTCCGAGGACTCACTTGCGCTATATTAATTTAGTTGGGACGCGCTTCGGGGTCGAGATGGCCCCATCATCAGCCGGCAGCGAATTTTTTTTATAAAAGAACTTTGTTTATAAAATTGTATCGTGACTGTCCCCTACAAAAGTTTCTATAAGATTCCGAGGATTTAGTTATAGCTAGTTAAAATTTTATAAATTTGAGAACCCACATCAAAGAAAAATCGCTCTCAAAATCGGGATGACTTACTACAACAGTTCTATGAAACCGTTTCCAACAGCTATAAATGAAGCAAATTTACCACTCACTCAGATCCGCTTGATTTATTTGTTCTCCTAAATCTGTAAGATTTGAAATACACGGCCTAGTATAGTGGTATGTTATGTTTTTCGCAGTTTGCTGCGTTTGTCGAGAACGAAGGAGTAACACTGAACTGTCGCCATGCCGTCACATAGAAACATGTATGACATGCACCCGACGCATACATGCGACAACCTCCGCCTATAATGTGCCGTTCAAGTGCCCGATGTGTCGAAGTAGAGTGACTGGATTCTCTCGAGTATCGGATGTTTCTCAAAATGAAGGAAAATAAAAAGAAATTTGTACATAGAATGTTTTTGGCAAAACCTACTCTTTGAAATTGGAATAGAAAATTGATTACATTTTGCAAAAAGGAGCCAGAAGCATTGCCATGTTGCTAAGATTGTGCGCCTTCGCCCTTTGCAATATAACTACTGTAATCATACAAAAGTATGAAATTTACATGGTAATTTTTTTCTTAAATTTAAAGTTTTTAGCGTGTAAAATGGGAAATGTTCATAGATGACCAGGTTTTTCTTCCACGACAAAAGGAGTTGCGCAATCTTAGCAACATTTCAATGCTCTTGGTTCCTTTTTGCAAAGTGCAATCCAAATTATATTCTTTGAGAATGAGTGATGAATTGGATTACATTTTGCAATGAGAAACAACTATTTCTGGCTCTCCCATAAAAGCACATATCTACACAAGGAAACCAATGGCATGTATATTGTTTCTCAAATGGACCAGAAGTAGTGGTTCTTATTGCAGATTGTAATCCAATACAGGAAGAAGAGGTCTGCTTTTGGTCTGAATTCTATGGATCAATCTATGAAAAATGTATCATTGTTAGTTTAATTATCTCTTACTGTAATAAATGTTCTTCTAAAACCTCATTTTATCAGCGAGTACGATTATATTTTTTTGCTCTGTAGATTTCGATACTAAAATAGTTTTAAAAATATTGTCTGTGAGTGAAATTGCGCCGTTGGTAATATATCCAAATTTGAACGTACTTTATGGATTATTAATTTTTGTTCTTGAATATGCATGCTTTTATGGTATTTGACAAATAATGTCGAGGTGGGTTGACCTTATTTGCAGCAAAGTAACCCGCGGTAAAGCGACCATGTCAAAAAGTCCCCGACGCAAAAAAAGCTGTAGCCGTAAGCCGTATAAAAAAAGCAACGAAGAGGTAAACCGACTAATGGGTCGGTACTGCTGGTCACAAAAGCGAGTTTTCACAGAGAATCCGATGCCTAATTTACAATGTTAGATCATTGTATTTTTCTTAGATTTCCATTCACTAGAATAAAAATTCCATTTCCATTCGTAAAATTTTACGGGAAATATTGCTGACATTTGTGAAATGTGTAAAATCCACGTCGCAAATTGTAGATGTTCAGCCAGTAATTACAAGTAACTATGTGGTAATTAAAATGGATTTGAGAGATTGTCTAACATCCACAATTTTTTATCGTTTGGAGACTTAATTGATATTATATTTATTACCGATTTTTCGCATTAAACGAGACAAATGAAGAAAAGAAATCACGAAAGATAAGAAAATAGAAAATTGAATGAATTATTTTTTTTCCCATTGTTTGGTGTTTTCTGCATACCCTGTCCCTGAAATGAATGTTCTATATTTTTATATATTTCCTCGTTAAGTTAAAATAATTAAATTGTATTAAATATTTCGCAGATTCCAATTTCCTATATCATTCTAATTTTTCATGCCACCCTCTTATACGTACTTACTATGAGCCAGAAATAAATTATAATAAAATGTGCCCGCAAGGTAGCGTAAATCGATGACTATATGCGAAACCACGTATACCTCCATTTGCGACATTGCATAGTCGTCCTGTCATACCTTATTTTTGCTTTGGAAAACCAGTCAACGTAATTTCTTGAAATCTTTCACGATTTTTCTTCTCTTTTAGAAGAATATTCTGCATGAATAAGCTACAATTTTGGTGTGGACGTTTTGTAACACTGCGACAGAGACAAGTGGTTTCGCACGTTTGCCATCGAAATGCTACTTTCGGTGGGCTGTATTCCATCAGCTATTTTTCATCGAGAAAAACATCGTACGCCTATCAAGTTGTGGCTACACGCAAAGCATGATGGTGATTGGAGTTCGCCAACATTTACTGACTGAAAACAGCACGGCATCATGGGTGTCAAAAAAGAAGAAAAAAAATTCCGCGTATTCTGACTTCTACGGGTTGAATCAACTTTGCGACATTACGCAGAAATCATTCTGCAGTTAACGATCTTATCCGCCATTTTCAGGCAACGGTTATTCTCTCTCGTTCTCCTAGTCGGCTGAAAAAACACCGACTAACCCGTCGGAAAGTTTTACTTCTTTTTGTTAGTCTATACCATGTGCCGGTAATATGAGATTTTCGGTTCTGCTCTATCTGTGCGTTTTCTTCGTTGCCTGCATTTCGGTAAGTTTGTCTTTTATCAACTTCATTATCAGAGAAAATATTATCTGGGAAGAATTGAAAATGAGCATAGGTGGAGCTGGACATTTTTTGTGGGGGCACAGCGGGCTGATTATTGAAATTGATGGACAAAGCAATAGACAAAGAAGACAAAAAGGATTTGGAGGGATCCTATTGGTAGAAGCGGGTGGTTGCAATGGACAAAGGAGGTAGGTAATAGACTAACCAACGGCAACCCACGAAAGCCCCGACAGTTAGTCTATCATTTCCCCCCTTAGTCTATGAGAACCACCCATTTCAACAAATTGGATTGCTTTACACCCCTTATGTCTTCTTTGTCTATAACTTTGTCTATCAATTTCAATAATCGGCCCGCTGGAGGAGAAGGGTATCTCATCAAGAGGATCTGCGGGCCGATTATTGAAATTGATAGACAAAGCTATAGACACAGAAGACAAAAGAGTTATGGAGGGATCCTATTGGTGGAGGCGGATGGTTGCAATGGACACAGGAGGTAGGTAATAGACTAACTAACAGCAACCAACGAGAAACGCGACGTTAGCCCATCACTTATCCCCTTAGTCTATAAGAATCACCCATTTCAACCAATAGGATCGCTCTATACTTCTTATGTCTTCATCGTCTACAGCTTCGTCTATCAATCTCAATAATCGGCCCGCAGGAGCAGGCCCGCCACAAGGGGGGGGGATACTGGGTCCTTGGTACCGGGGCCCGGGCCCTGGAGGGGCCCGTGACGCAGGTGACAAACCACTACGAATTCATGTGTAACCCTTGTCTCGTTGGGAAAAGTGAAAAAATTACCCTAAAAATCCCGTAAAAGGTGAATAAAGTTTCAAAAACACGCTAGGGCACTATAAAATTGTTCTTACTTTTTTAGAGATTTTCAAGATTTTGAGTATATGTAGAATGATATTTTTAGTAACTGTGTTTCATTTTCTTCCGTTGTCGGATGCTAAGAGGCTCCTTTCTCGGCATCCTCGACTTCAATGGCTTAACTCCCTTGCCATAGACGTACGAAAGGGGAGTCCAGGGGGGCCCGGCTCCCCATAGAATTGAAAATTATCATCTGCCCCCTCAAAAAAAA